CGGGGAGGCGTGCGGGGCGAGAGGAGGGACGGTCTGGGGAGTGGGGCAGCAGAAATACAGCGCTAAGCTGTGGCTGTCTCTTGGCATCTCCTCCTCTCCACGGGAGACGTTGATAGCTTTGCGATTGCATTGACGGTCTGTGTGCATAAACGCCTTGGATGCTCTCCTCGTGTGGTGGAACAGCGCTGATATTTACAGCTTACTTGGGGTGCTGAATGCCGTGCGTTCCTTGCGTTGGAAGCGGTGTTTGAGTGGCCTGCGGTGCATAATAGTAGATTAAGAGATACGGACACCGAGCCTGTTTTTTTTTCCCCACTATCAGATTAGTTTCTCCAACCGTTGCAACATTTTTGAGCTTTTATATTTTTGTGCGAGGTCTAAAGCTGGCTTTTTATATAAAGAGTTCTTTGTAGACACTGTTAAAAGGAAGTACCTGTCTTTATATATCGGTGCTAACAACTGATCAGAAAAACTGTAGCAGGTTTTTTTTTTGTCTTTGCTGTTAGATGGCGGTCATTCCCAAGTCCGGAGCACTTCCAGCCACGGGCAAATGAATCCAGTAAGAAACTGTCGGTGTCATGTGTGTGGTGCTGATTGTCAGAATCTCCTTTGCTGTTGAAGAAGTAATTAGCGCTGCTGACCAAAAGGTATCGGTTTTGAAGTGAGCTACGACACAGAAGAATTTTATATTAAATTTGTTGGAGTACCTGATAGATGCTTGCCAATGAATATATTTTAATCATAAAAAATATTTAGTGTGCTCTGTGGAAGAATCACAAAGGACTGTGTGCATTACCGGGGTTGCAATAGGTAGTTAAAAACCACAGAATTTGTGGAGCTGGAAATGCTGTGCTTAATTTTCAAGGTAAATTATGTCTTGGCATAGTATATGTAATTTTTAAAAGACGCTATATTTCCTCTTTCATGTGACTGCTTTGTCTTTTGTTGCTGTATGTGTTCTCTTTAATTTTATTCTTTGTATTCTAAGGAAAGACTGGTTATACTGAACTCTGGCTATATTGTTGGCTCTTTTATTTTTGACAATTTCTTAAAAATTAGGGTTAAAACTGCAGTTTCTCATGAAAAGAAAGTTTAAGTGAATATTATGAGGATTTTTGACACATGTTAGTGATAATCTCATTGACACAACTTAATATCCGAGTTGGTTTTATCTCTTGCCTTTTGGGGTTTTTATCCAATATGGCTCTGAAAGAACTCTTAATTTTCTTGCTTCATGTTTACTTGTAAAGAAAATGTGTAGGTGATGTTAGCCTTGGGTGAAGACAGCACAGCTGGCTGCCCTTATCTCATCTGTAGCTCTGTTGGAGAAAACCTCGGTGAAGGCCAGGTGTGGGGAATGGGTCAGGGCCCTGTGATAAGGTTACTGAGTGCTTGCAAGCGGGTTTTCACCAGCTGCCTCACCCCTTGCATCTCTGCAGTTCTAGAGGAAAGGGGATGTGACACAGACCTTCCCGTCACCAGAGAAGGAAGACGGATTTTTACTCACTTTTAAAATATATTAGAAAATTGTAATGCAGTAAAATTTACATGAGGTCATTTTTTTTTCCTCTCTCTTATTCACTGGGCTTCAGTGTGGAAGGTTATAGTTTCTTTGGAAAACATTTCTTATGGAAGAGCTAATGCAAAATGCAGTGGGTGTGTTCTTGTTAACTGGTGTTGCTTCTGCATTTTATTTTTTGCAAAACTTAGTGTTTCTTTTCTTCCAAGACCCGTAGGAAACAATCCATGTAGACATACTGCTTTTACAGCGATGCGGTTACACCATACTGGTATGAATCAAGAGCAGATGATGTGTACTAGTCCTGGTGTGGATTGAGGCGTGACCTTTTCCCTGCAGCCTTAAATTTCGGGGGAGCAGTTTGGCTGGTTTGATCTATTGCGCGTCCACAGAAACATTTGTTGTAGTTGGAGTTAGAGAAAAGGGTGCTATTTATTTCAGAAGCTGTGAGCTTGTGCTAATTTAAAATGTTCGTTAAGCTGTGACACCATTTCCACACAAGCACTGTACAGATAGCTGTCATTTCTATATATTCATGCAGGCTGCCTGGCTACAAAAGGATGTTTATTCCCACTTATTGCACACAATAGAAAATAGTGTAAGCAATTTAGTAGTAGAACCAAATATGGTTACTCTGTTAAAAACTGAGGGGAGAGTAATATTTTTTTATTAAAACTAGATGCTTAAAAGAACAAGCAGATGTATTTATTTTCTTTGCTCTTAAGTCTTCTGAGGTTTGTTCTGCTCCTGTTTTAAGCTTGAAATGAATGTACTTCTGATGAAATTTTGAACTGCTCTGAGTAGAAAGAGAAAAGGAGTTTCAATGCAGATAGTGTTATGAATATGATGTCTTGAAGCCTAAGAAATTGGGGAGTTGTTGAATTGGTAATTAGCTATTTCTTGTAAGTCAAAATTTGTTTGAGACTCTCAGAGTTTATACTCCATATTTTTTCCACCTTTAATATAGCATTTTTATTGCTAATGTAGTTAAAAGTTGCAGAAGATACAAGGAAGAGTGTGAAGGGCACTGCATGCTGTTTGTTCTTGTGAGCTGGAGGACTAAATGTTTGTGTAATCCAAGAGAAACAGCCTACTGACCACTGCCACGTTTTCATCTGTTGGTAAACATCAGCTGCTGGCTGAGGACTGAATTAGTTCCAGATGGAGAGCTCTTTTAGCTCATTTAAGATTTTCCAGTTGATTTAAGACAGCAGGTCAGTAATTTAGGGGAGTAGTTTTGTTCTTATTTGCTGTTCTGCTTCCTGCGGTGTGTGGAATCAGTGATATGGGATATGGTATCAGTGCTGTTGAGGGTGTGAGTTTTGGTGTGCTTAATTGACTTTGTTTTTAATTGAGTAGTATAAACAGAGAAAGCATTAACAAAGTTGTGATAACTAACCGTTTTGAATGTAGAGGGGTATTTTTTTTAAGACCTGAAAAAGGAGGAGGAGTAAAGGATCCGTTTTTCTTTACAAATTCTCTTAAGGAATGCATGTCTTCCTTAAAATCGGCTAGTTTTGCCTTAAATAGGGTTAACCCAAGCATATGGTTTAATGTGAGCGCGTCAGAGGGTCTTGTACCCTGGTGCGCTGCTAGTGTGATCTCCTGGTAAAATGGAAAGGGGTAAGAGGGATAGGGATGGAAACCTTGTGTGTGTGGCTGTAGTAACGGAAATAAAGAACATGAGGAGTGGAAAATTTTAATGTGAAGTAGCTGCCATTTAGGATATGGAAACTGACAGGATATATTTAACTCTTTAGTACCTCTTAATGATTTATTTTGAGATGCCACATTGGACATCAAAAAAGCATGAAGAAAAGAATGTATCCTATTCACCTGTTCACATGCTAGCACAATCGGGGCAGGTGCAGTTGCTCTTGTTACACCTCTTGTATTTTTGCTTGCCATTGATTATTTCTTGTTTTCCTACTGTTTGATGCACTGTAGTATTACGATCTCATTTCAGACAGCTTTTCCACAATGGCCAGTGATTAACTTCCCCATCAAGAATTGCTTTTTAACTGTGTAAGGTCCGCCACCTAGTCTATCCAGGAAGTGTGCTTCTGGAGAAAAGGATTTCAAATTTATTTTCCCTGATTGTTTGCTCGTTGAGGAGCAAAAGAGGTCTTGTCCATCATTTAATTCTCATCTGATTAATTCTATTTTTTCTCGTAAAATGCAGACTGCACAATAGAAAGCAATAAATCCCATAGTGTGTTTTAATGCTGCTCAGGTGCAATTTGTTTCTTTCCTAATACAGACTTAGAGTCTGCTAGCATGAATAAAGGTCACAGTGTGGTTTCGTTGTTCTCTGTATTCTACTACTGTAACTTGCCATGTTTCATGTAATTTGTATAAGGAGAAAGCTCTAGTTGTGAAAGTTTTAATACCTTTTTCTGTCAGATCTTTTTAAAAAGATTTTAAGGCTTATTGCCAGTACTAATATTGAATTGCAAGCTATAACAGTACTGCAGTGGCAAGGTAATGTTGCATTATTTACAAGTAATTAAATAGAGAACAAGCCTCTTTGGAAAGCTCTTGGGCATGTTTTCCTACTTTGTTAAAGTAGCTCTCATAGTTACCAGGATGACTGTTTATGATTACTGTTTATTTATAGGCCTTGATTATTGATTGCTCACTTTGACTCCAGATGATAACAGGTTAATTAGTACCAAAGGTACAGGCTCCTCCCCAGATTTTCTGGGTTGTGAAGATTTTTCTGTTGAGTAGTTATGACCTTAGACTGAGATCAAAGAAACTGTAGAATCTTGAAGAGGAGTTAATGGCAATGGAAAAGGCGGTGTTGACATGCTTTAGAAGAGAAAGAACTTGAAACACTTGAAGTCTTTTGTGTGTGCATGCTATTTTAGAATAAAAAAAATCTCCCTTAGGTAAGTTCTTCGTACTTAATCTTGGTATCATGATATTAGGAGTGCAAAATCCAGTCTTAAAGACAAGCTACAGAAGTCTTTTTATCTTTCATAAACTGCAAGTGAAAGTGATACCTTTGCTACATTAGGGATTTAAACTGTCATTACATTCAAAGCTACATGCTTTTTTCCTTCTTTCTCTTTTCTTTCACTCTTAGGCAGAAAAAAATGGAATAGACCGCATGAAGAAGCATGTGAAGTTGATTTGTATGCAAGATGTTATTTGGAGGACCAAGTACACTTTTTCAGGCCATGGAAGATGAAGGACTAGTCACATGATATTTTTGTTCTGTTGAAGTGTTCTGTGCTAAGTCAGTGTTGGTTTGTATTGAGGTCAAATATTAATTTCTTAATGTCAACATGTCGACTGTGACAAGTGCTCCGACGCCGGAGGAACCTAATTCTGCCCCCCCTGAAGAAAAACCAAAGGGAAAATCACTATTTCATTTGGGTTCACTCTTTGCTAACAGGAGTGAAAAATTTGTGATTGCTAGGAGTGATAGTGTACCAGAGGAGAACGTTCTGAAAATCACCATCACGGAGACTACAGTCATTGAGTCCGACTTGGGCATCTGGAATTCTCACGCTCTCATCTACCTCACTTTGTGGTTTTTCTTCAGCTTTTGCACTCTTTTTCTTAACAAATACATTCTTTCATTACTGGAAGGAGAGCCCAGCATGCTAGGTAACCCTGCTTTTCTTTTACGCTTTAATTCCAGTAGGATATTTGACAATATGAGATCCTCCTATATGAAGCTGAAGGACCAGATGGTTCAACTGAAGTGAAAAAGGCCTAGTTAGGAGATGTGGGGGTGGATCTTGGGGCTGGATCTTGGAAAGCTGGCTCCTTCCCTGGGGACAGGGCTTCTGACACTGTCCTTTCCTCCACCTCCTGAGAGATGGTATGAAACTTGGCTCATAGAGGAGATGGTGTTTGAGAACAAAGAGCTGGAAAGAAAAAATTATTTTTTTTTTTTTTTTTTGAATTTTTTTTTTTTTTTTTGTAGTGTGGTTTCTTTTAAAAAAAAAAAAAAGTCAGTTGTTGATAGTTTCCAGAGCTGTTAACATTAACTTGTTTGTCTGTAGAAGTGCAAAAGTTGCCTTCGTGACCTCTATTATCTAATGGGCTGTTTATTATTATTTTTTTTAAGGGGGTAACAAAGGGCATTTCATCTATGAATCGGATTTTATAGGTGTATGACACCTTTGTTTTATTCTGCTGCCTTGCTGGTAGATGTAAAGGTAAAGGGCTTTTGTGAGAATTCATAAAATCTAGTCAGTAATTGCCGTGTTTCTTAACTGCTAAAAGAACTACACATATGTCTGTCTAAAATCTTCTTAGGTTGCTTGTTTTGTCATGTTCCCATAATCTTCTGATTTTATTCTTTTCTCCTCTCATCTTTTTTAGGTGCTGTTCAAATGCTTTCAACCACCTTCATTGGCTGTATAAAAATGTTTGTTCCATGCTGCTTGTATCAACACAAAACACGCATCTCTTACCCACCCAATTTCATCATGATAATGCTGTTTGTTGGATTAATGAGGTAAATGGTTAAATATTTCCTAGAGATCTGTCTGGTTGCTTTGCTGCATTCATCTGAATGGAAGCTGTATTTTCATGGCTCTCTTCGTTCTTGATTAGAAAGTGTTTGGAGTATTCACCTTTCCCCCCCAGTAACATCACAGGAGAATTTTATTTTTTAGCTCCTATCACGAAATGCTATGTTCCTCTTTCCAGATGTCAGGTTTTTGCCTAGCCTGGCTCCCATCACATTTAGCTTCTTTCAGAACATACTTCTCTTTACTTTCTTCCTGTTCTCTTTTGAGGCTGATGCTTGTTTAGTGTTAGTAGTTGTTATGATGTTGCTTTTTTCTCCTCACCTTTTCCAGCAGTTTGCCTCAAGTGATACAGGCTATTAACATTTATCTTTTAAAAAGTAAGTATTTGCTGTGTGCTGGGATAGCACCAGTTTGTGGCCTAGGAGAGAGTAAGAATATATGATTTGGTTTCCTCTACACTGCAAAAGTGATAAAGGATAACAGAATTCAAATTAATTCAGAGTAGTTTTATCATAATTCTGCTGCTCTGTTGTTTAATTTCACTGTTTAAAGAATGGTAAATATGTAGTGTACCTGATTTACACTAACGATGGATAAATGCAAATGATATTATTTCCTTGGTGAATTACTGTTTATCAGCAGAATTGTACGAACTTTTTCAACTGAGCCTGTTGAAGACTTTAGCTTAGAATGCTGTGATCTGAAGCTTGACTAGAGTTTCTTAAAATGTAAACTTTATTTTCTGGAAGCCCACTGTACATCCATAGAAATTGCACAGTTGCCCAGGGGTACCTTCATTTCTGCTAAATAAATACTAATGTTTAAGCCAAAGCAGAAAGAAATAGATCTGATGCATTCCCAGCACCTCACCGGTGCTGTGCAGTGAAGGCGTGCAGCTGATCTGTTACTGCAGGTCAGTCAAGCTCCCGTGATTTGGTAACTTGAGTGCCAGCTACATCTGTCCATATTCTTAGTTACTGCACCTCAAATTTATAAACCCTAGATAAATTATAACACAATTCTTTTTTTATGCTAGATGTCTAAGAGTAGCTCTCAAAGCATTATTTTATTTTCTGCTTAATTTCATATGTTCTTCTATTACAGATTTGCAACAGTAGTCTTGGGTCTTGTCAGCTTGAAAAATGTGGCAGTTTCATTTGCGGAAACTGTTAAAAGCTCTGCACCTATTTTTACTGTTATCATGTCTCGGATGATATTAGGAGAATACACTGGTAAGTACTTCACTGTTGAAATGTAAAAATTTTCTTTTTTTTTTGTATAATACTGTCACTTAATTGGCCATGGATGAGCAGACTCCACTGAAGTACAGTAAATGCAGCTGGAAGAATCATTCTGTTTTAACATGAGTACAGTGTATATATAAAGTAAAAAAGGATTTATGTTAATGCAGCTGTGTAAGGGCATTGTTGCTCTGAAGTTATTCTTCTGTCAAGAAAACATTATTTCAGACTTAAGTTATTTAAGTTCAGTGTGTTCCTTCTTATAAGGACAGCTTCCTGCTCAGAATTCAAAATTCTGGAATTTCTTCACCGTGTTTAGTCTGTGGTTAAAAAAAAACCAACAAAACCCCAAACAACTGGCTTACCACAATATAATTTGTTCCAGTCCACAATGTAATTTCTTTGTGGTTTCACTTGCTATCGCATGCTATGTGCTTGAAGCCATGTATAGATTGCTTTGTGATGCAGAATGGCAAAAGGCTGAAATAAGACAGAGGCAGTAGAGTAATTCCATCACAAAGAGTATCATTTGCCTCTGTCATTTGGTGAAAAAGATGAAACAAACACAGTAATCAGTCCATTTTCTTTCTCCAAGGGAGATACAGATGGATACTCACCGATAAAAGTATTGTTTTCAAGAGCACCCTGCTATTGTCCAGGATCTCAGTTTAGAACCTCAGTACTTCAAAATCTAATCAAATAAGGTGCTCTTTCTTTCGACTAAGGAAGAGGTGGAATTTAAACTTTCAAAAACTGTATTTTCTGATACGTGTAATTAGAAGGACAGTAATTAAACTCAGATTTTTCTTTTCATTTGCAGGATTGCTGGTTAATCTCTCTCTCATTCCTGTTATGGGTGGGCTAGCTCTATGTACAGCTACTGAAATCAGTTTCAACCTTCTAGGTTTCTCAGCAGCTCTATCTACTAATATCATGGATTGGTAAGGCGTAATGATAGTTGCATATGTGGAATAAAGGAATTTTGTTTATTGGTAGATTGGAGAAGATTGTTGCTTGTAGTTGGTGTTGTATACTACATTTAAATATTGATATTTAAAATTTATTTTTAATAAAAGATACAGTTTCTCTGTCATATCTGCTAGCATTAATGAGATTATAAAATAGTACCACTCCGTTAGTCTAAAGGAGTTAGACCAAATTCCTTTCTGTAGTTGCATAATGTGTATAAAACATATCCACCCATCTAAGGCGAACAACTGTCTGTCTCATGGGTTGATTTATTTGTCCTAACTAAAATACAGATAAATGGTGGTGGTGTTTTTTTTTTCCAGTCTGCAAAATGTCTTTTCCAAAAAACTACTCAGTGGAGATAAATACAGATTTTCGTAAGTATTAAACATATTTCAGGTTTGATTAAAGATGGAATTTGGGCTGCATAAGGAAACCATGTGTTTATGATTATATCGCTCCAGTATTTTTTTTTCCGGACTGTTTACAGACAGCTTTAGCCTAAATCGTTTTATCAGGGAAAGAAAACTCTATGCTCAGATCCCAGTGCGGTAGGTCGGAGTCTCATAATCAGCTAAAACTCTCAGCATGCCCAAAATGAGTCATCTTGTCACAGAAACAAGTCCTTATTCTGCAATCATAAAACATCCCTTAAAGATATCAGGCATGTTATTAGGCATGCAGAAATGAACTTCAGAACTCGCTCGATGTTTTAACTATGAAACGCGAGCCAGGTGTAAAATCTCGTGGTAAAGTATACCTATAGCTGTATGTGTGTATTTTACCACAAGATAGAATGCTAATTTTGGTCTTGGAAGTGTGCCTTTTCTCTTCGGTCTGTTTCAGCCAACACAGAAAGCAAAGCACTATCTTTGCAAGAGATTGCGGAATTTGTTGTCCCCAAAGCCTGATAGATGGCTTTTATTACTTTTTGATACCTGTAAATACGATAACGGTGCACCTTTCTTCAGCTCTGAGAGAGAGGAAGTTCTTAATAATTTTAATTTTTTTCTCTTTTGTAGAGCCCCAGAGCTTCAGTTCTACACAAGTGCTGCTGCAGTGGTTATGCTTATTCCAGCTTGGATATTTTTCATGGTAATTTGAATTCACTAACACTGATCTATGGTTTCTTTTTGACTTGTGAGCAGAATGTGCAACCAAGGTTAATCTTAATTTTTACTTTTTCATTATTCCCATTTTTTTTAAATCACCCTGAAACACATTTCATCTGATGTTTGCAAGAGATTTGGGGGGGGGGTAAAAAAGAGAAAGTTTTCAAAGTAATTTAATGTAGACATGCGATGACAAGTGACCCAGAAAGCCTGAGTTTATTTCAGGATTTTTGAGATCAAATCATAATTTTGTCTATGTGCATTTAAAGTTTTAGATGAAGATTTGAAAACCAAATCTTAAATATTTGTTAACTTTTTGCTGATATTCACATGGTATACAGGAATATTAACTCTCTGAAAGAAAAATTGAGCCTAAGTAAGTATTGTGTATCGGATTAAATATGTATCCTTCGTATTCTGATGTTTCATTGCCATGCATCAGTACTCAGAAAAGACAATATCTCACAGGTAGGCTGAACACACTGCGAAGCTCAGTCAGAGGAGAGCTGTTTTTCTAATATATTCTTACGAGAGGAAAATTTGTAGGATCTAAATGTCCTCTGTGATTTAGGTTTTGTTTTGCTGAAGTTTAAATGTAAAACTATATCTGCTTATAGTAATAATGAGTTGGGTGAAAAATCACTTTTAGATTTGCTTATAAACTAAACTCTTCTCTTTTTTGTTTGTTAGGATGTGCCTGTGATTGGGAAGAGTGGGAGGAGCTTCAGCTACAATCAAGATGTTGTCATACTTCTCTTAATAGATGGGGTCTTGTTCCACCTACAAAGTGTTACAGCCTACGCCTTGATGGGAAAAATTTCTCCTGTGACTTTCAGGTAAAACTGTATTTTCCTCTCAAGAACACTATTTTCTTTTCCTTTTTTCCAGCTCAGTATTTCTGCTTGAGAACTAGGCAGTAGAGGAATTGTCCAAATAAATAAATAATGAGCAGTCAGCCCTGTATTCCTTTTTTCTGAAGCATGACACCAGCACGTCAAGCTGTATTTGCTGAATTATATGTGGCCTCTAAAGACAGCTTCTACCTCCATGGCCAGTTATCAGCAGCTTTGTTATGCTGTTAAACAATTCTGAGTCAGTAATTGGTCACTTTTGTGAATAGCCCTGGGGCCTGCCGGGTGATCCTGGTCCGAAGCTCTGAAAGCTTCTGCTGTCTTATGCTTTCAGGTGCCCCTGCCACAGTCTTGTGACAGTGCACTGTTACACACATGCTTATTCTGAGGCTGTTCCTGTTCTCTGCGTAATGGGATGTAAAAGCGTATATTCGTATTTACATGTATACAAGATTCCTTAACTACTTGTTGTAATGTTATTGGTATGATTTAGATATTGATTCTTTTCAGGTTATAATGCTACATTACCCGAACAGTAGCAGCAGCCATACAAATGATAGTCGTGTTGCTAGTGTTCTGTTTGCATTTTCTGGATGTCTGTCTTAGCTAGAAATGAATTGCTAATGCTGTGCTGCATCCTGAAAAGCAATGAAAACAAAACCCTGAGGCGAATTATTCGTACTAGCTCTAAAGTTAAGATGAGTATAAAGCTACGAGTGCCAATATACAAGCAATTTGATTATGGTATTAGCTTCAGGAGGAAAAGTGGAGTCTGAGCTGATGTTTAAAAAGCGAGCGAAACAAAGAGCAGTCCTGCTACACTGAAGCATGGTTGTGTGGGGGTTATGAGGAGGCTTTCTTTGGCCTTAATTTTTATATTCCTTTCCAGTGTTGCTAGTACTGTGAAGCATGCGCTGTCAATCTGGCTAAGTATTATTGTGTTTGGTAACAAAATCACAAGCCTCTCGGCCGTTGGGACTGCTCTAGTGACAATTGGAGTTCTACTGTATAACAAGGCAAAGCAGCATCAGCAAGAGACTATACAGAGCCTGGCCGCTGCCGCCCCGCCAGCTGCACAAAGTACAGCTGAAGATACTGAGCCACTAATTTCCAAGGATTTGGAACCCTATGATTAATACAGCCATTTATTCTTCCTACCTAGTGTAACTCAGAGCAACTCTTCCTGAAAGTGGTTGTTTCTTCACCTGTTTGATGCTGATTTGGTTCCTCTGAGTTCATGGCAGGGGGAGCCCGGGACTTTAAGCAGAGAGAGAACAATGGGAAGAATCCAGTAAGCCTTCTCTTTCCTGAGAAACTGGTACACCAGAGGACCTTGTATCATATGATGTGGTAAATGTGGACTTTATTGTCGTTCCTTGACTGCAAATAACAGAGAGAACTTGTGTCTCGTGGGAAAACGGTTCCTTTCTCCCTACCCATCGCAATAATGTGAAAACATGGACCCATCACTGCATTCTGCCTGCTTGCAGTGGGATGAACGCGGTGCGTAACTGAAATCCCTGTTTCTTTGTTACTCTACGCTGCCTGCATCCTCCATCGTTTGTGTGCATTGCAGAGCTGGAAGAAGGAACCCCCTCCTCTCCCAACAAATGACTTATTTTGGTACACATTTAGTTGAACTATGGAAATGAGTCCATGCCCCAAAGCAGTGATGAGCAGCCATTTCTGACTACAAAGCTAGGACTGAAAAGTGATTTTTCTACTCAAATTTAACAGAAATATTGCAACCTGGTTGTGTATTGACAATATTGAAATGCAAGTATATACACATACACCTTATAAATGGAGTGTTGAATTAAATATTTGCAGTTGCTTAGAGGTAAAAAGCACTGAAAAATTTTGGTCATAAAGGAAGCAGGATCTCTATAAGAAACCATTTTAATATTTTAATTTCTTGCATTTTAGTACATATTTCTGTTATGAGGAACAAATTTTTTGCATTATGTCTGAGTGCAACAAAATACTGCCTTTTAGAAACTCAGGGTTATAATTCTGACCTATGTGCAAAGCATTTCTATTATTTCTGATTATGTAAAGAATCTCAGAGGTATCTGACACAGAGATGGCAGAGGGCCCACTAAAGGGAGGAATATTAACCATAAACTGAGGCTAATCTTTATTTCTGCTGCTTCTAAGAAGTTTTCTTTTTTAAGGAAATCCTGTTTTGTGGTAGGTCAAAGATTAAAAGATTTAAAAAATAAGAAGTTCTGAAGTATTACTACTTAGTTTTGGCAAAAAAGCATGTGTAGCTATAAAAACATTCAAAGGTACTTTTTGGTAACAAAATTGAATTAACAATGAGCTGATTTTTAATAATTGCCTCTGTTCTGAAAGATTGTGTCGTGGCATTAGAAGAACGGATAAAGTGGTCTTTATGGTAAAAATGATTTCTAATAGGAAGTTACCAGTGGAGCTCCTGCAAAATTTAAGCTGGTGCTCACGTTTCCACTTGAGGTATTCCGTTAGCTTTTGTGAACTGTTCCCGCAGAGAGCAAAAATGTGTTCCCAGAGAGTCTCGCTGAAGAAGCCTGTCTTCTGTTTCAATAGCGTGTGCTTGCTTTGTCTGACGCTCACTGCAGGCTGCATTC